CGTAAAAATTAGACCCCTAAACATCGTTTTTGGTACATTCTGAGCAGCTTTTATGGCAATCTTGTGGCTCCAAAATTTACTGTTCGTGCACAAATAATTCCGGAAAAAGGCTGTATTAAAATTGTTTGCCACTCCGATCGTATTACGCGCGGTCCTTGCGCCCGGCCACAAAATGCAGAAAAATAAAGAAAGCATATTTAAATGTCAATTTGATCGAAAACATAATCATTGGCATGTGAAAAAATGTCACAGTTTCGCTTTTTGGAAGTTTTGTTTCTGTTTTGACGGTTTAATTCTAGCGGGGTGCGATCCATAAATGCCCTATGGAAATTCACCCCGCGTCCCGGTACACTGACTTCCGGGTTCCTTGAACAAGAAAATTACGAGAAAATGGCCAAAAATCGGCGTAGAGAAATATACATCTTCCCGAAAATTCTTTTAATTATGTATTTCTTTAATAGGATGTTGCTTAGTAGTCGTAGAAAAAACGTAGAAAGCAGCGTAAATGTGTCTCTTCTTCACCGGCGAGAGCCTGCCGGCGAAGAAAAATCTTCCCGCGCTGCCGGCTGCTCGCCACATCGCTTATCCAATCAGAACGCAGGTCATGTGAGGTGAACCAATCAGAGCGTCGATCGCACGCTGCTACTTAATATTCATGACAAGATGGCGCCTGAAAGCTCCTGTTTTTGTACAGGGGAGACTGTGGTCAATGGGTGCTGCATTGAAACATATGGAAAAACAGGCATAAAAATGGGCATCATATCTCACCTTTACGAAGTTTTAGTGACACAAACTCACCTTCATATGTTAGCCCATTTATTAAAATGGACCTACAAGAAGTTTCGGGAAAAAGTGGACGGCGAGAATCGAACTACAGCTGTTCTACCAAACACAGGCGCACTTTGACCCCATATTCCAGGTTGATTCCAAAGTGGTGAGCAGGAGGGGTGTGTGCCAACAGAAAAGCCAATAACAAGGCAACTTTATGGAAAACCTCCATTTTTTTTGCAAAAACATTCACTCAAAACCCTACTTTGTACAATCCACCACAAAAATGCCAAGGATTCAACAAAATTTCCACCAAAAAAACGGTTTTAAAGTTATTTAGCTCATTTTAATTTTGAGGTCTCTCACCCAGCAACTTGTGCGCATGCCCTTCAACCCGCGTCACCCCTTCTATAGGGGAGACTGTGGTCAATGGGTGCTGCATTGAAACATATGGAAAAACAGGCATAAAAATGGGCATCATATCTCACCTTTACGAAGTTTTAGTGACACAAACTCACCTTCATATGTTAGCCCATTTATTAAAATGGACCTACAAGAAGTTTCGGGAAAAAGTGGACGGCGAGAATCGAACTACAGCTGTTCTACCAAACACAGGCGCACTTTGACCCCATATTCCAGGTTGATTCCAAAGTGGTGAGCAGGAGGGGTGTGTGCCAACAGAAAAGCCAATAACAAGGCAACTTTATGGAAAACCTCCATTTTTTTGCAAAAACATTCACTCAAAACCCTACTTTGTACAATCCACCACAAAAATGCCAAGGATTCAACAAAATTTCCACCAAAAAACGGTTTTAAAGTTATTTAGCTCATTTTAATTTTGAGGTCTCTCACCCAGCAACTTGTGCGCATGCCCTTCAACCCGCGTCACCCCTACAGCGATGCGGAGTGTGCGGGGTTTTGACGCTGATTTTTGGCTAGCCGTGATTAAGCTACAAATGCCACACTAGTGGAGACAACAGATGAGTGATTATTTTACGATCGACAAGAACTTTTGATGAATGAAACAGCTGTGAAATCTCGCTGATGGCGATTTGTTTTTGAAAATTTGTCTCTGTGTATGAAAGATATGAACACGCTTCTATACATGTCTTGATATTTTTTGACGTGATTTGTACTAGTTATTTGTAGCAGGAATGTTACTAGTGCCGGGAGAAGTTGGGAAGGTAGCGGCTTGATAAATTTTCGTGAGCAACGAGTTTACGAAGCAAGTTCCGCCTAGCTCGAGCGATACAGCTCCGCGGATACAACTCGAGCCCCGAACAAGACCCTCCCCCCGTAAAGTTTCGGCCGCTCTGGCCGGCCGCGGGCCGCTCGTAGAAGCAAACGCTGACTCGTGCACTAGAAATCTGCACAGGAGGCTAAGAAAGAAGCAGTTTTCCGATCCAGAAAGCTAGCAGAAATTTGTCTGAAGTTCGTCAGAAGAAATGAGCCGGTGAAGTTTGTGAGAAAATGTAACGGAGCTTACTTGTTTTTCTGAAAATTTAGACGAAAGTAGCCGGCGCAAAAATTTGAGTAGGCGGCGATTTTCGCCGGTAGCCGGCTTGTTTTGAGAAGGCTGGAAGTCTTAAAAACTTAAAACCAAAACAAACCTCACTTCAACGCTTTTAGAGAACATTTACTTTACTAAATGGAAGCTGCCTGCATGTGGCATTAGGAAAATATCTTTGACAGTATCTTGACAGAATGTTTATGTGGTTGTGGATTTGGGGGTTCAGCTTTCTTTTTGTTTCCTGTGACCCAGAAACAATTGATGATTGCTGACAGTTCTTTTACAGGGTAGAAATCCTGGGATTTCCCTTCAGTATGTGGTCATGCTGGAGGCACTTCAGTCAGTTTATTATAATCCAGGACCTGCAGTTATGCAGTCACTATGCATCCATCAATGTAAACCCCAGGCAAACACATATTTTTACAGGACCTTGACAGGCTTTCACGCCTTTGCACTTTTGTGGATATATATATAGTTCTTGAGAAAAGGGGGCTGTGATATTCATCATCTCTTTTCCAAATTGTATTCCTATTGCAGTATTTGAGACATTTAAACTTTCCTAAGTGCCAAGAAAATGCCAAAGATAATGCTTGAAGTGTAAATGTGATCTCATGTGGAAGATATAGACATTTCCGGTACTCAGAGATTCTGCCTAGGGTATCCTATCTTCAGTGAGTAGCAAGAATGTTGTCTGCAAGCCTTCCTAGAGTAATACCACTTGAATAGAAAATTGGCCCAAGATAACATTCTTAGGATTTCCTATAATTACATATCACTTTCTTTAAATACAGACTTTTAAGGAGAACTGTTTTGACTCTTCCTTTTCTTTTTAAAAGGACTGTCCAGTCAGAGATTCATGGCAGATGACTCAACATTTAACAGTGGGGGTACATTTGATTTGACATATATGTAGGCGGGAAGATACTTCTATATTGTCAAGAAGAATACAGGTAATGGTTAAACAGGTGGGAAAGAAAATGGCACCTACATGTATATGACTTTGGGGGGGGGGGCAACTCTTTTGAATTCTCTGGGACAAGATATGTCATACAAGGCAGCCTAATGCTAAACAAGCCATTTTTGTGAGGACATTGCAGCAGAATGTATTTTTCCCTCCTATTTTTCTCTCTCCCGAAATTTCTAACAATCCTTGACATATGTCTTCGCCCACCCCCACTCTCTCCCACTCACATGACTCACAACAGAAGTAGACAAACCAGATTGTCGCACACTAAAAATGGCTTTAAATCTATAATTAGATAATAGCATTCTAAATCATAGTTTGACCACAGGCCACCCTTTTCATCTTTGAGATCAAACAAATATCTTTTCAACTTATGCTTATAGAATGTATCCAGAATCTTTCAGCTGTGTGCTTGGCTTATTGTAGTCGTACAATACGATGAATTAGTGTGTTTCACAGGTAGGATTATTCTACATCATACATGTACAGGCATGTCCTAATATGGTATGTTAGACATGTGGCACCTGTCGGCTTATCTATTGTTCTTAAGACAGAAGTGCCCTTAAGGATACAAACATCATAGCAAGATAATCACTGTTAACACACCGGGTACTCCCTCTAAACATAATATGATAAACCTATTCAGGGCTTGAAATACTAGGTGCATAATGCACCTTATATTAGTACAGGTAAAACTAGAGCTGTGTAGGTATTTCTGCAGGTCTACCTGCACCAAACCTGCACCAGTCCAAATGAAGATGTATGTGGATTTTCATTAGCTTTTTTGACTGGCATCACCTGTCATGAAGTTTGAAACATATAATGCAAAAAATGGGAATGATTTCTGAACAGTTCTTGTTAGTGTGATCCAATACTTCCTAACATTTTGAGTGGTGCAGGTAATTGTCTGGTGCAGGTAATTTTCAATGTTGCAGAAAAAAGGATTTGGAACCCTGATATTCTATTCTCTATTGGTTGGAACAAATGGCGATGCTACCGACCAATACGTATTTTTAAAGCTAGGTATACACAGTGCATCATTGAAGGAAAGGGTTTCTGTACTAACCTGTAACCGTGTGACCTTGTCCACCCAGTAACAGCCGTCAGTCCAGTGAGAACAGCGCACTTTGGTGTTCAGAATCTCCTCATGCATATCCTCATCAGGGTAGATCTGGAGAGCGGAAACAGGTACATCAGACAAATTTAATTTGGAGCAAGACATAAACTGTAATTGGCACATTCATAAATGTTTGAGAACATGAAAATAATCTGAAAAGGGCATTTACCAATGTACGCAAGGTTTTACCTCTCATACACATAGCCAAATGGGTTATACAGGTTAAAACCCAGAACCTGTTATGATGACAAACTTGAAATAAACCAGGTGAATGAAGTAATCAGTGCATAATGCGCTAGGGAGAGAGCGTCAGCATAAAAGCATAAAGTGCCCTAGCGTAAAATATCTTAAGCGCCATTTCATACAAAACCTTCTATGCTAAAAGTGTGGATAAATTGTCATCTTGTGTCCTAACCTTACACAACTTACAGGACTTAATGCCTGTTTCTGCTAAATATCATTCCTACATTCCTACCTCACCAAAACAAGGTTAAATGTTACTGGCAATACAATCCTTCTAGTGCCACATGCCAGTTATAAGCCTGAATATAATCAGCCTTGACATTGATCCACTAAAGCCTGGTTCAAACACAGATCGCTGTAAGACCCAGGATTACATTAGACTTGCCTAATGGTTCTAGGGTGATGGGTCAGGGCGAGTGGGGATAAACCTTTTTCTCTTAATTTGCTCCTAATATCTGTCATCATGTCAAGGCAAAGCAAATTTCTATCATGGTACTAGTAGCTATGAGAGTATCTGTTTGGATGACCATACCTATACGTGTATATTTTCATGTCACCCACGTACCTATCATATAGCTAACAGTTATTGAGAAATGATGTTCATAACAGAAAGCATCACCATGAAAAAATAAATAGAGCTATTCTATTATCATTTCATGTACACAAACTACTGTTAATATGATTTTATATGACCTTATGCTTATCATCATATCATACATGTGCTTGATACACTGTGCAGATATGTTTGTGCTGAATTCAGCTCACGTTCGGAGTTTGCATATCTGACAAGAAAGCCTCTCTCATCCCTGCGGCCTTATGTGAAGAATATGCATTGAGAGTGATGGGGGGATTCTCACGTCAAACAGGCTTTTAGGCAAGCCTGAACCATTCCAGGCATTTCATGGCCTGACATGTAATAAAAGATTCAGAAAATATGAATAACAATCTTTAAAACTGTGAGGGAAGGAAAGAATTAACATTTGTTTCACGTCATATTTTTGCTGTATCTTAATTGTTGGTACCCCGTGCTTTCAGTATTGCATAACTGCATGGGTTATTGAGTTTGCAAGCTACGCTCATCCCCCCATAGAGCTTGTATTATTGGTTATCAGCAGATGAATTACGACAGCTTGTCAGGTGAACCTTTGGCATTACAAGACAAATGTTGGAGGGGATTTAGTGTAATGATGATGGGTTACTTTTAACAGCTTGTAGCAACCTGCGGTAAATGCCAGGGAGAATTGGTAGCCAATCGGTGTATCTGATTATGCAGAGGGACTCAACAGTTAGCAACACGAAATTGAATCTTTCAAACCTCTGACAAGTATTCAAAGTTTTTGTGAATTTATTGGCACAAACAAAGACATGGTCTGACATACTTTCATCATGACTAGCAGAAACCTTGCCCAAAGAGGGCATAATAATATTCTTCCCCTAACTGTGTGGGTGACTCACTTCCTACCAGCCTGCCAACTTGACCTGAAGGTCAATTTACAGTAACCAGATCTCCCACCAAACACAAACACACACACACACACACAGAACAATACCTCCAATACAAACTGCAGGGATGTATAATAAGAATAAAGTATAGCTTATAGCAAAAGATTAAGTGTAGCTTATGGTAAGCCTGTTGAAAAATGCAGAATCCTACATTGATCAATACAACCCCTCCAGTCTGAACTGATTGACAGTACTGTAAACCACATATATTATTTAACTTCATTACCTCTGATGGGGAGACAAGATGACTGGTGTTTTTGTGGTAACTTAATTGCTTAATGGCAGAAGGAGACAGGAAGATAACAAAGATACTCTTAGATAGTAATTATAGGCAGTGACAAGAAAGGAGAAAAGAGATTATGACAATGAAATGGGAAATGAACATGTTGACAAGAAATCTAAGCTTGAAGAAAAGGTGGTAACACTAAATCCACACAAAGACTGGCAAAATAGGAAAACATACAGACAAATGTCAGTTTCTAATAGCATGAGCCATTTTATTACTACAGACAGAGAAAAGGCAAACTGAATTAAAGGGAAAATGCAGACAGACTAACCAGTATGTCAATGGTAACTTCATCATCTTACACCAGGGAATGTGAAGTAGGTTCAAAAAGCAAATTGAAGAAAAACCAATGGACAAAGACTAGACAGAAAGTGCTGTAGGGACAGACTTGATGTCATCCTAAAAACATGAAGAAGAGCAACAACAAAGAGGAGATAACTTAGCCTGAGTGTCAGCCTTTTTAGCTTTCGTCTACTCCCCAAGATATGCTTCCGGCCAAAAAACTGGATCTTGGGGAGCGGACGAAAGCTAAAAAGGCTGACACTCAGGCTAGAGATAACTGACTGAGGCTTAAGCAATTTTAGGAAACAATAGAGAGAGGTAAATGGTTTCAAGTGAATGATTTAAAAGATTAAACCACATGTACCTTACCTTAGTTCCTCCTGTGCCTCATCTGGCACATTCGGCAGCACAGGCTCAGTACATGCTAGTAAACTCAATTACTCTGTAAGACCAGACAGTTTGGCAAGATTTGTGGTCATAAACTTAATTGGACAGAATGAATTTGAAACAGGCAGAGGCTCCTCAATTTTAAGCTTACCACTACACGCACTTAGAACGATTAAAGATGTGGTGTATGGTACGACTGCTAACAGACTGCGACTTACCGCCCCGGACTTCTCTGTTAGAGGTCCTGACATGTTCCTACTGCCTTGAGCTATGACTCAGGGCGCCACCAATTTCTGCCATTTCACAAAGGAGACAGTGCCAGACTGTCGATGTCCAAAAATGTAGTTAAAAATTCCTCTTAAGGAACTTGGCTTTTTGCCTGGTCATTCTTCAGACAGAATGGCAGATACCCTCGGCACCAGGGACCCATTAGACAGTCTGGGACCATCTTGAAAGCCCAGATGTCAGATGGGAATCTTTTCCCTGAGTCAAAGTTGATTTTTTTAGAAGTTAATTACTGAACAGGTCCCTTTTACATTGTACATTTTTGTAAAATAATACTGCGCACTTATCAAGTAGATTATACAATGTTCTCATCTGTAGCTGACATGCATTGTTGTCTTCTAACATTTAGTATCATAACTGTTTTTTTTATTGCTGTATTGTTTTTTAACAGTTCAATGGCCAAATTAAAGGTAATTCTAATGTTAAGTCTTCTGAAATTTAATATGCACTTTGATGCTTAGATTATGAAGAATTATGATGCAAAGACTGCAACAGTTTGACCAGGCCTCACTGCCAATGCCTCCTCTCCTACTGCAAAATGATGTCCTTGCAACCGATTTACAGTACTTAACTCTCCTTTCTGCTACTTAAACCTACTTTAAAATCATAACATATTAAGTTTCCTACCTTTTGACCACCACAAAGGTGACCATACTTTCCCTTTCCAGAACGGTTTACCCAATGAAATGAGTGGCTTTCTCAAAACAACACATTCTTACTATTGTGACAGCTGTAGTAGAATGGATTATGGAGAGAACAGGTCTGAAATGTGCAAGTAATCACTTTCTATACACTGGTATCTCTATAGATGCTGTTAAAAGCCTAGGGATCTTCTTGTTAAACTTTATTCTAACACCAGAAGTTGTGGTGGGATAATTATGCCCAACTTTAGTGGTGTTGACAGTAAGAACAATGTTCAGGCTACCCCCACTGACACCCCCCTCTGCCCAACTATGGGAAATAGATTACAAGATCATTGCTGGAGGTCTTCGTAAATCTCGTTCGGTTTTTGTGGTTCTACAAACATCTTTAAGGGGATTTCCCAGGGTCAAATCATCTTAGCAGGTGCAAAAAAGGTAGGCAAGAAAAATAACTGCGAAGTCTTAAGAGCGACGGAAATGATGGATTATCTCTTTAAACTTTGGAGGGGCAATTTTACATTGTAGTACATGTACATTTGTACATGTATGTTGTCATTAGGTAGAATTGTACTAATTGCCCTAAGATAGATAGCATATATTTTCATTTCCCTTTCCAGTAATCGATCATACCATCTTTGCTATTCTTGTTAATGAGGCTGCTGTCAAAAACTATGTTACAATCAATCATCATTTACTTCCACAATGTTACTCAGTAGAATTTCTACTGAATTTTACCAGAGTTCACAACACTCCAATTAAGATCCCTATGTACTCATCAAGAAAAACATGTCAAAAAGTCATCAGATAAAAGTCTACTCTCTCCTTGGCCCCTAAAGCTTATTCCTCATACACACCTACGAACTGTCGCCCACATACAACTCATTAGACAACGCTTGAGTGAGCCAGATATTTTAGTCTACACTGTGGAGAATTCTAATGATGATTTAATGGTGGGTGCACAGAGATGTTCTATAAAATATTAATGACCTGCATGTGGAATCATCATTGATGAATTGTACCACATTCCTGGGGCCTTACGCAGGTTCAGCCTTTGTTCACCAATTTCTAATTATAGACGAGTTGTCATGAAACATGTTTACTTGTATCTGTGGTAACTCTAATATATATTTCATAATAATTTCAAAATTATCTGTAGCTAACATTTCAAGAGTTGCAAAAAACGAATGATACTTATGTGTGCTTTTTAGGCAGATGAGTCTCTATTGTCAAGGTTCATTACTGTTTTATGTTACTTATATAAAAAATGATGAGGTATAACAAATGATTTTTTTTACTCACCTTGGCATAATCCAGCGCTAGTTTGTCCTCTGGACACTCAAATACCCCTTCACTGGAAAGAAAGATATGAAATATTTAAGAAACATGATACATAATCACACATATGTTTTCCAAGCAATATAACAAGGATGTGAATATAGTAACATAAACATGTACACATACAGAAAATCAACAGTAAGAGACATATCTACAAAAGAAACATGATTCGAAGTACCAAAATGTGTCTTGTTTCTCAAGCTTTTAATCCGTCCTCTAAAAACTTTATATTATTTATCAATTCAAAATCTACAAACTAGTACTTTTACATCCAAGTACAATAACTTTCCTCTAAAGTGAGCTTGAGTTATGGCTAGAAAACATAGCCAGAAGCATGTCAATACTTCACTCCACTTGAAATTGCACCCTATCACCCAGTACAATATACATGTACACCTGTATTAATCAGTGGAATGTTAATGGAACATACATTCGTGTCAATCTTGACTTCACTTCAATAGATTATTGCACACATTATTGCTTCAGCAGAGCTATCTACGCCTCGGATCTTTATCATTAATATTTCATGTCAAAATGACGCACAGCAATATTTGCAAGTATGCAATATCTTTGCTATTTCCCGGTGCTTGGGCAATTACATTGGCGATGGCACCTTATAGTGAACACTAATATATGATACTATGATGTATTTTCTTGATTTGTATCTTCTTTTAGAACTTGGCCCAACTTTCAAGTAACATGACCAAAGAAGACAACAAAGGACTTTTTGTCCTTGTAAGAGATAGGATACGTCAGAAGATTGTTTAAGGGCTTTAGTCCTTAAGACCATAATCCATGTTCACCTTGACTGGCAGCCATCATCAAACTATCTTTCACTTGGACTCATCTGAAATGCATCTCTCATTTGGACATATGAATCATGATATGATTGTAGAAAATTGTACCGAATTGAAAGATTAGACCTCTCTTGTCAATCAAGCATGCAATTACAAGTCTGATGGACACTGCCTAAGTCATTATCGGTACTTCTTTCCACCTCCATATATCTATGGCAACAGGAGTTGATGATGACAAACAATCTGATTACGCCTACACCTTTTTTGATGGCAATAAATTATTGATGGAGAAAAGTAAAAGAAAGGCTATGCTGACATTTGTATGTGATGTTTTTGCTATGTATGTTTCCTACATCAATGATAAGACTAAGTTAAGACTGAAAATTCTTCAAGAGATGTAATCATATGTATGAAAATGTTATGTGTATTCCTACATACATGTGTACTTGCACTCTCTTGATCCATAGATCAACCCAAAGTCATTTCCAGACAGAGGACAAATCTGTCTTTGATCCATCTCTCCTCTAGACAGACAGACAGACAGTATGGATCAGCGTAAGTCAGGGTTGGCTCCAAAATCTGCCGCGCCATTAAAACAAAACTCTGAGACCTTCCCTAACAAGCTGTCCCTGTATACCCAGGAGATGTGATCAGCATCAGGTGTGGCTATTTATCACTGGGAGGCTCTGACAGCCTCTCCTCCTGTAGTGTCACCTGATACCCTTTTGTGTCCTGTTATTCCCACTGCCCCATAGGACTGCTTAGCCCCCTGCTACTGCCATTTGTACTGTTCAAAGTTAAATTCTACATCTTTAGAGTGATCTCTAAGATAGGGATAGGTAGCAAACGATGAATTTCTCTAGAGAAACTGGTAGCATTTAATTCCTACCTAGACTGTTCAGTCCTTCCTTACAACAAGAAATCAGAGATCTTAAGACTTCTGGAAAGTATTTAGAGTTTTTGTAACCTTCAAGTTCACCCCATTTCCTGTGTCTGACCTTTTGACCTCTGGTTATTTTGCCTGTCAATCTTCTCCCACCCACTTCCAGTCCCTTTTAACCTCCTGTCATTCTGCCCGACAATCTTTCCCACCCATCAACTATCAACCTACTCTGTCTAGGCAAACTGACATACAACCCCAAAGCTCAGCCAGATAAGACAATAATTGTATTGGCACTAACATCAACTATAATCCTGTTTCATAATCACACCCTGTACTTCCTTCTTCAATCTGTATAATCGTATAGATAATGTTATAATATCATACATTGTAGCAGTGTTGATTGATCCTCTGACAACATCTTGCCACATGTGAAATGAATAATTCAATTTTGTCTGCAATTTCCTGTTGTGCAAATAGTTTCCCTGGATAGTGGTATGGCAGGCATGTGTTAATATCTCTCAAGGTATGCTTCATGCAAATGTGTTGCACAGTTCATACTGTGGAGCAATATTAGAATGCCACTATTTCTGTACTTCCAACCCTTATATGTTTTCAATGGAAGAATATTCCCAGGAGAGACCTCACAAAATGACAGATCTATAACTCATGTGACTGTCAACTGTCAAAAGTTCAACATCTGCATCATTTCAGCTGCAATATGCAGAAATGGGTTTGTGTATAATTAAAATTATTGTTTACAATGAAAACCCAATAACAATTTCCCCATCATAGCATTAGTGACGAATATTGTTCTTGTTCCCCATTTTGATTCATACGTCTACCACCAGAAAAATAGGTCATATATATTCTAATGTGCTGTCTGGAAAGCAAGCATGATGCAGCTAGATGTAGAACCTCAGTGAATGCACCACTGAGCAAAACATCAAACACTTTTGAGCATAATTCAAAACGATCTCATGGATGGAGAATTTACAATCCTTTCTGTCTATTCTGATCATGCTCTACTTGATACATGGGGTGGATGGTGTTCAAGTCTACTGGCATACATATGTACATGTACATGTACTTGCATCACAATTATCCCTTCTCAGGGCTCAAAATGCTTTTCCTCTACATGTATTTATACCTCATACTATTGACTCCATACACTTTTAGATTCCTAATTTGCACGTTGTTCATAGTTTCTTTTTATCTCAATATCGACAATTTTTCTGATAATTACAGGTTGCAGGTGGCTATTCTGTGCCCTCCTCATAGATTAGACATTGTTTTCCTCTGGAAATTTTAATGCGTCTGCCACACTCGACTATGTTCGCTGTGCCCAGATTCGAAATTCTTCAGTAGTCAGACTCAGCCTCTGCCTTGTGGAATGTATGGGATCGTTCTGGGTCTAGAGCTCCAGAAGATACATGGCGAGTTCGGTTGACGTGAGAATAAGTCTGCCCCAGGCAAAACATATCTACTGTAATATTCTGATCATGCTCTAGAACACTTCTTCCACGCACAAACAAATTAGGCATCCCCAATTGAATTTCCATCCCAGGAAATCACGTCCAATCAGACGCATCCACAATTGCTCAAGGTACGAAACAAATGCCATCTGCCGCTACAGGCCCCTCTAATGTCGTTACACCTACTAAATTATCCGTGGAATCGCATTCAAGCATGACTTATGAACGCCAAATCATATTCCACGGGGTCGGGACCCAGGAATTATTAATGCATTGCCTTGTTGAGCAGAGTGTCGTTATGATGTATTTCCGAACCCTACCAGTGTATTATTCAATCTCCAGGGACTTACTGAACCTGACATGAAATATGTATGGGCGTTAGGGGTAGGGAAAATTCAACAACAAAACATGTTATGGTGGATCTTTCTTACAGAAAATATGTGATATTGACAAATATGTCAGAACTACAGCATAATACCAGTAACGACTTCATTATAGCATATGCATGCATATACAATTGGATTTGGTACTAAAAGGCTACCTAAGCTATAAAATGATTTGGTGGCCAATGGTGAAATTGTGGCTCCAGCTAACTAAACTTTCCTCATATATTTTTTTCAAGCTGATTCTATAATCATTACATGTCAGTAGTTTTATTGTTGGCCATCTTTATTTATGGACTACAAAAATAACTGTTTATAAGTCTCCATCCTTTGTCTGTTGGAACAATGCAAGCTCCATTGTATATTGTGAGGTGTCACTGTCACAGATGGCCATGACAAAAAGAGGCTACCAAATGTAGAAAAGTCTCCAGTCATGTGCAACAAGATATTATCTCAGCATGTAACATTTAATGCGTGGGTTTCCAACATCTGGCAACAGATGCAACTATTGTCGATAAGACTGCAAGGGGGATGGAGAGAAAAGTATCGCATTTCCCATCTTTCTTCCTCCCCCTTTTCCCTGCGTAGGCAAAAGCACCTGCTGACAAGAAGTGAAGTAGAAACACTGGGCTTTTATTTTCGGTGAAAGGGGCATGGGGCTGCTATACCCGCAGCTTTCATTTTGTATCCAACTGTCTGTGAAATTACAGCATTCCCGCAATGACAGCCATAATTGCCATGGTAACGACCTGGGGTCGTGGAGAGCCAACAGCCCTCAGTTCGGACATCTATTGTACGGCACGGCACTCACATCTCAACACCAGGACAACTGTGCACACAGTAACCACACATGACAACTCCTATCTGCAGCTATGTCATCCCTGTAGACCACAACAATTTCAGTCACGAAAAATTCCTTTAGCGGATCTGCCTTTACAGGTGCATGTGGATGGTACTCAAGAAGATTACGCCCCATTTCTTTGATCTTGCATACCAGAACAAAACCGCTGTTCCACATAAGATCTCAGTTCTTCAGTCTAATATAAACGTTCATCTGAAGTGGACCATCCAGTGTCATGCATGTTGACAACCAGGGGTCAAGCAGAGCCAACAGTCCAGAGTTCGGCCATTCATTGTACCACTTTACAACACGAGAGCAACTGTGCACACAGTAACCCACACATGACACATCCTTTTGTAGCATGTTATCCCTGTAGACCACTGCAATGCAGTGAGAAAATTCCTATCTTTCGTAGCTCACTATAAATGCCCAATTTCTCTTCAATATTGCAGAAGGAAATGTGAAGTAATTGATCCAACGTAAATCATCCACATCCAAACAAAAAATAAAATAATGTGAATGGCATTGATAGCAACACACTTACAGACTTATTAGACTATCTCTATATGCAGTTACATGATTAGAGAGTTTTTAGCAGGTGCATGTCTAGATGAGTGGTAACAGTTTCCTCTTGGGAAAT